CCACAAATGCAAATACCAGTGGAAAAAGGGAAAAGTGTATCTATGATACAAAACAAATTTTACATTTTTTCTGAAAACTGACAAAATAAAATGGTAAAGACGAAATGGCCGTATACGTTTTCCCACTGACCGATCCTTTAAGATGAGGTAGAAATTTTTAAAAAATGCAGCAAGATACAATTTAGAACTAAAATCGAACAAGAATGTTCTTGCAAGAGTGAAGATAGCAGATTAGATTCCTCTACGGCAAATGTTAGTTATGTTTGTCGGCGGCAAGATTTCTTCAGCAGCAATAGTCTTGATGGTGAATGTACAAATGTAAACAATGTGTGTCGTGTGTACATTGAGACAACAAGCACGCAACAAGATGTAACTTAGTTCACATAACTGTTGGTAGGTAAACGGGTTGGTAATGGTTAGAGAATGGTTAGTGCACCTAACCTCTGTGGACACCTTAAAAGCGCAACTTGTATGGCTTACGCTGTGCCATACTAAATATCTGACCACAATGACTCCCAAAATATGTTAACTGATGGCATCTGTCAACCATGAGGGATCCAAATTTACTCGAGTATCCTTCTTGTCGAATACGTATCCAACAAACACAGAACGAGCGTAGAAAAATCGTCGCATCAATCCAAAATTCGCGATAGTGGTCGTCTTCATTCGCCTGCTTACTGCCGAAAAGTAGGAGCTGGTAGGGTGAGCCACCCGACAGTGCAATTCCACTTTGAAGTGAATCATCAGGCTTCTCTGGAGCAATATTTATTATGATTGCTGACCACTGATACTGTCCGTCTCTGAGTTTCTGCCAGGTACATCCGAAGTCGGAGGCTGCAACTAATTGAAACTTAGAGTACATTCGCGAAGTGAAAGAAATAAAGTAAACAAGTAACAAGTGTCTTTGCAGTATGGCCAGGGAGCCGAAGTAAAAAAGGATCCGTTTTCAACTGACTTTTCATGACATCGATAGCTTTTCTCAACTTTTTGCACGTTATTTAGATTTCTCCAGTCAATTTAAGCTTGTTTGACATCAAATACAGTGAATCTGATCCCCTCCCTGTTGTGGCGTAATTTCTGGAAAAAGTATGCGTACATATATGCACGCGATCGGCCCTCAAAACAATCTACCTGCATTCGCAGTTCAAGAGAATCAACCTTAATTTGGCTTAGAAGTAATGTTGAGGACACTTTCATCATGCTAAGCTTGCGGATTTTTCAGTCACTTATGACGGTTCGACCGTCGCTTTCGACGGGGTCCATCGTGTGCTGCTCAGCAGGATAGTGCAGGGACGGTTAGCTTATCGCA